GTGTTACACATGGAGTTTTTTTATTTTATTTATTTAACCTTTATTTATCCAGGTAAACTGTTTGAGAACCTCTTCACATGACCTGCATGCACTGAGTGCAGTGCAATACACAAACCTACATATTCAGAGTAAAGTGATTGTAAATTTGAATTGCGATTAAAACTTTTAATCTTTGCCCATGCAGCACTAAAATTAATCAGTTAACTCGATTAATTTCACAGCCCTAATAAAAACAAAAAGAAATAAATAAACTACATGTGTGCTATAAAAATCTCTGCTGTTGGGAACAAAAAGCCTCCACACCGTCTGAATCCTTTGAGATAATTTATTTTACACAGTAAAACAGAAGTTTATGTTTTATAGGACAGTGAGTGCACTCACATCAACTCAGAACGTCACAAACTGAGACCGGACCGCCGGGCAGCGTCTCCGCGGTCGGATCGTATCTTACAAAGATAAGCCAATCAATCAACTTATCAGTCAGCTGTGACAGCGTGGCCCAAACCGGACGTGAGGATGAGAACCGAGGAGGGAGCGTTCAAGAACACCACAGATCTCTGTCAGATACAAAATAAAAACCTCACACAGGATTATCCTAAAGATGCTGCTAAATAAAAGAAGGCATTTCTCACTGAAACGAACGAGTCAGGATTCGAACCCTACCGCCTGAAGAAAGGCGTGTACGTGCTGATCAGCTTTTATGAGTTTCTATGAACCTCCTGGACTGAGGAATGTGGGGTCATTGAACGCAGCCTTCTCAGTTTCAGGCCCAGGTCAGTGGGGGTTGGTTTGATTTTACTTTGGAGGCCTGTAGATCATCTTCCTGCTCTTCAGCACCGTCCACTTGTGCCTATGCATGTAGTAGAGCGTAGGAATGATGATGACCATGCCCATCAAGAACTGGGAGRAGGAGAACGAGATGAAATTGAAAGAAAAGTCTTAAAAATCTGGGTTGGTTAATAAAAGCGGTTAATAAAAACGTACCTTTAAGCCCATTCGTTTGCGTTGGTCGTGCTCCGGTTCTGCGGCCCACCTCAGGAAAGTACAGACGTCTTTAGCTACCTGACTCATGGTGGCGGGGGTTCCTGTGTCAGACACGCTCAGTTAGTATTTTTATTTTAAACAATCGTTTCTGTGAGGGCTGCAACTAAAGATTATTATTATTATTATTATTATTACGTTTTCAATTAATCAATTATTCAGCCAAATCATTGAAACACATAACTACATAAATATTATTAGATATAAATTTATTTAATTCCTGTATAAATTAGGGATGCAAGTTATTGATTAATGTGAAGTTACAAAGTTATAAATTGATTAACGATTAATTGATAAGTAGCCATTTTCTTCTTCTTCACTTAATCCTCTTTTCGATGTGACAGCTCACAATTGTTTTAACTGTAAAATAAAGACTGTAAAAATACTGTAGGCTGTTTAGTTTTTATCATTTTTAAAAATATATTTTAACACGGACGGAGCCATTTTATTTCCACACAAAGCATTCTGGGTAAATGATGATGTGGATAGGTCCTCGGTGCGAGGCTGCTAGCGAGCTATATCCACCCTGAAGGTTAATCTTGGACAATATCTGATGATCGACTCTTTTAAATGAAACCAGAGAGCGTTGACAGAGAGGAGAAGGTAGAAATGACTCAGCCTGGAACTGAAAATATGGATGGAGGACAACAGAGCTGCTTCATGGAAGAAGAACATCTCTAAACACTGACTGGAAAAAAAATGTGGATTTTTCATCCATTAATAAACTTGGTTTTTAGCTATAAAACACAACAAAACAGAAATGTAATAACAGGTTGCTGAATGAGGAAAACAGATAAGAATAAAATATGATTTTTAAATGTAAAACCATTATAAATTTGTTATCATTAGAATTTATGATTTTTCTCTAATTTTACCGACTCATTGTTGCAGCCCTTCGCTCCACTTACCATCTTCAAACTCCAGGACCTCGTTGTAGATGGGCGGAGCCATGCCGATAGCCTGACCGGGGAAGTAGGGGTTGAAGTAGAGCCCCTCCTTCACGGGCACTCCCGCCGGCGGGTCGCAGTAACCCGTCAACAGGCTGAACACGTAGTCCTCGCCTCCTTCTCTGCGGAGCAGCACAGGAGCAACAGTTAACTCTGACGCTTTGAACGACTCGCCGTGCTCGCTCTGCGTCTCAGGCGTCACCTGGCCAGGATGATGTAGCTGAGGTCCGGAGGGAGAGACCCCCCGTTGGCGGCGCGGGCCGCCTCGGGGTTGGGGTACGGCTTCGGGAAGTAGTCCGAAAGCTTCCCCGGCCGTGTGAACATCTCGCCGTTGTCATCTGGACCGTCCACGATCTCAAACTAAAAACATAAACGGAGTTTTTAAAAAAAAAAACGCTCTAGAAGCAGCAGAAACARTCTAACGTCGCCACCTGCTGGCAGAACAAGGCAACAACACCTAAAGGGTCAGAACAGGTGTGGATCCGTTCAAACGGCTCCATTGGCTGCCTCACCTCTTCAGCTATAGCCTTCGCCTCCTCCTCTGTGTGCGTCACCCCCACCAGGTTTCTAAAGGCCAGGTAATCCAAACTGTGGCAGGCTGCACACACCTGCTTATACACCTGGTAACCACGGCGAATACTGCAGAGGAAAAAACATCACAGTGGTGACCTTCCACAAACGCCATGACTGTAGACGCTCGACTTCAAATTCAGAGGAAAACTAAGGGCTGAGAAATCAAAGAATRAAGTGTTGTCCATATTTTGATTTGTGAGCACACTCTCTTCTCGTCTTGCCTCTTMAATTTTACAGCCGTAATAATTAGATAAAAATACAGAGCGAGTTAATATGTAATATGGGATTATTTATATGAAACAAACCTGAGGAACTTTAGTTTACAAAACAGCCGACAGCTTTTAATTCATAATTTACATCTTGCCAGATTTTCAGGTTCTTTTTTACTAAATTAATAAATGTTTTGTTGCAGAATTTTTAATGAAATTTGTTACTTGTGGACATTTTTTTCTCCCTGGAGTGCTAATAAGACACATAAAATGTTTTTGGTAAAAGTTCTCAGGTTCTGAAGGGATTTATGGCTGCAGCAACACAAACTAAAAACAGGGTTCCCACCTTGGTCAANATTAGCTGGACTGATTTAAGTAAACAGATGCAGATATGTTCCCACAATCCAGTCACCAATAAATAATATGAAACTGCATTGAATGAAGTCTTACTTGAGGATTAARTCAAGGAACAACATTAACAACACCTTCACCGGAAGTTCCCATTCAGCCATTGAAATGCTAACCCCGTTAGCTCACATTCAATCAGCAACCTCTACCAAAAACAAAACATGACCCAAGTGTCCACTGAAAACCCACAGACATAAAATCCACTCGCATGCATCGAGTTTATTTTGTGATAATTAAAGCGTTAGGGACGAGCTCTGCATGTGCCGGGTTACTGACAACAAGCTAGCTCCACAACTAACCTCCGTGACGAGATTTATTTTATAACAGCCTTTATGTTGGCMGCTACAAACACACCGTCCATCCCTCTAATTATAACCGACAAAACCTCAATGAACCTGAAGGCACAGAGCTTAGCAGCAGCCTAAAATAAGTAGAGAGACAGGTGACCTTGTCTGAGTCAACCGCTAACAGCGAAGCTAACGTGGGTTCGCCCGAMAGGACGATTAAAAATGTCACCTATTTTTTACAAACTGTGGTTAAAACCCCACAGCTGCCTGAGCGGCTCGTGTTGAACAGTTTTATCGGTTTACCTTGGGAGTCTTGAGAGTTTTCCCTGCGCTGAGCAGAGCTCTTCCACTCCCAGAGAGCGCCACGACTCGAAGCGCCGCCATCTTTGCTGCGGTTCTCTCCCCTCTGGAGTCGCGAGCTATACACAAACCAAGTAGTATTTCCGGTACGAGCCTTCAAAATAAACTACCTTTGGCCATAACGCAGGGGTCTGCAACGTTTACAATCAAAAGAGCCATTTCTGCTCCTCGGCTCATTAATAAAATGTGTCCAGAGCCGCAAAAATAAGCTACAACTGTGATTATCAACTGGTGGTCCGTGGGCCTTTTCGAGGCCTTTTCGGGAACCTTTATGGCCAGTGGAGGTGACATTATAAAACTAAAAAAATATATTGTGAATTTTATTATTGATTATTATTTTTTACACTTCAAGATTGAAGAAAAAACATATCCATGCACAAGAAAAATACTGACTATAGTTTATATAAAATTTCATATAAACTAGTTCAGCTAAACTACATTTTTTCTAATTGTTATTTTTATGTAGAACTAAAGGTGTTTAAAGATAACCCTGATGGATTTGAGAGAAAGATTATAGAAAGAAGTTGGATTATTTAGGTAGAAATCAGGCTAGCATGAGCTAACATATTTTATTTTTGTTTTAGTATTTTTGTATTACTGTAGCACTGATCACATATTTGCATACAATTTATTAGTGTTGTGAATATAAAAAAACAAAAAATAAAATAAAATCTGTTATATTTGGTCACAATTTCAAAGAGCCACTGCAGAGGGAACAAAGAGCCGCATGTGGCCCCAGAGCCGCAGATTTCAGACCCCTGCCATAACGAGACCCTAAACATGATACAAACCCATTTGGGCTGCATTTTTTTAAACTTAACTTAAATTTTGTGCCTTTAATATTTTTAAGTTTCAAACCAGAACAAAAACCATGAATCAGACTGTGCCTGGCCCTCACTTAAAAAAAGAAAGCCTATTTTGTTTTAGAACTGTCTCTCAGTGGTTTGTGACCACAATATCGAGCTGATACTCAATGGTGAATCAAAAACAAACAAACAAACAAACAAACAATAAATTCTAATCAAACTTGCAGCAGGAGGCAAATATGAACATGACCTATCTTTTATATGTTGATAAAAAGCCAGTATGTCATTTTTAACACTCATTTGACGCTTTTATATTAAAAATGTGTTTTTTTTCTTGTCAACTTTCAATTTTGAAACTTTTATTTTGAAGAAAACCGTCAAWGGCAAACCGGAAGTACATTTAAGAGTAGTTTTTTGTTACTTGACGCAAATCTTACACAACAAATTTACACAATATGTTTACACAACGTTTTTGGAGAGCATACAAAGATGGTAACATGTTATTTTATAGTGAAATATTTAGTTCCTTATATTTATTCTAATATATTGTATTGTCCTTTTAAACTTAATCGGATATGACGTAGACTCAGCTTCCGTTTAGCCGGAACGTCTCAACATCTGACCTACCAAGGCTACAGAAACTAAATTATAAAGTTTTATTGATAATACTTGTAATTAACAGATGTCACCTTCACGAAATGTTAATGGCTCTCAGCTACTACCACACAAAAGATCAATGCAATTTATGTAAAAATGTGTGAATTGTACTGCAGCCATTTTTGTGTTTTGTAGGTTCAGTTGTCTGTGGTGGCTCTCTTTAATTTGTTTGGCTCCAAAGGTTCATCACTTTTAGAGGCACAGCCAGTGATTATTTCCTGAACGTTTCATTAAAATCCCTGCAGCGCTCCATGAGATATTAAGCTAAAAGACCAACATATGAACACAAACAGACAAAAAACACGATATTTGCCTTTTGAAAGAAGGTAATAATAAAAACTAAAAACTAAAACAATAAAACATACATATTTGAATAAAATAAAATATACAAAACACATAATTACAGAGTGCTATATTTGATTCTACCAGAAGATGGCGGCATAGTGTAAAAGAAAACGTGTGTTTGAGTTTGAAACTCATCAAAAAATAAAGATTAGAAATAGTCAGTTTTATTTTATTATATATACATTAGTGTAATGTTTTAAACACAAGCTTTGATTTAGTTTTATATGTTGCCGTTTATTTCAAAAGCAAAACAAAATGATGAAATATCAAATTCACTGTGACTCGACTCGTTTGGTGAGACAATAATGCATCAGAATAATGAGGATACATTTTGTTAATGTTGCTAAAACACTAATTACTTCCTCTAATTGTGCACGACGTGAAATATCTGCAARTATAGACGTGGAGGTGAGTTAACATCCATCAGGAAAGCCAGGCTGCAGAGTGCTGATACAGCATGAATAATGAATCAAGCAAACATTTAATCTAAATTATTAAGAYGCATAAAAACAGCAGGCATGTTGGATAAACTCTGCTAAAAGTAAATGGATGTTTGCTGCTGACAGCAGGTAGATGATAAACTATTTATCAGCCCCTGCAGGCCCCGCCTCGTCCGTGTCTTCAGGAGCYGAACGACGAGCTAAAGTCTCTATTTAGTTTGAAAACTCAACCCAAACTAAAAAACACAAACTTCTACTTAATTTTCAGGGTTTAAACTTTATTTTTCACTAAAAACATTTCACATGACCCAGTTTTTAGCTGCTATTACAGTAAAATGAATAAAGTCAGTGGTTCTTCGGCTGCTTTGATGATTCGGCTACTTCAGCAGGTAAAACAGAATCATTTCGGCTGCTGTTGGGTTCAGTTTGACAGCTTCGTTCAGAGGTTCTGCATGGAAATATTCATGTCCTCTAAGTGACGATATAAAGTATTTATGTTGCTCAGCCTCACCGCAAAACATAAACTCCAAACAAGATTTTTAGTGTGTGTGTGTGTGTGTGTGTGTGTGTGTGTGTGTGTGTGTGTGTGTGTGTGTGTGTGTGTGT